GGAGCCCCGCGGCCGAGGCAAGCCCCCGCGCTGCCTGCGTCCCGGCCTTGCGAGACGGGGTTGGCCTGCAGCAGGCCCGGGGAGGCTCGTCCCTCGTCAGTGAGGCGGTGTGGCTGCGGCCTCCCCTCGATGCACGGGCACATCTCTTTCTCAGGCCGGCGTGCAGTGTTCACTAGCCAAGCGGACGAACTGAAGGAAACGCTCTTCGTGCCGCGATCCCGTTCTCTGGGGCTTGGCTATGGCAGTAAATCTTGCATTTTATTTACTGGTAACTTTTTCTCAGAGTGAGCGAGAGAAGCAGGAGCAAACTGAGGTCCAGAAGGAGAAGCAGAGAGAGCTGATCCTGCAGCTCAAGACACAGCTGGACGACCTGGAGACCTTTGCTTACCAGGAGGGCAGCTACGATTCTCTGCCACAGTCTGTGGTTATGGAAAGGCAACGGGTAAGGCTCGCAGAGTCCCTCTGCCTGTATTTCTTCTTAGCATTTGCGAGCCTCTTATAGACCGCAGGAGCCGGTCAGGCCTTATTTCTCGCCAGCAGCTGTAATAGCGTCAGTAGTTTGCCTGCGTGCATAAACCTGTCCCGTGTCTTCTCTTGCAATTTTCTATGTGCAGAAAAGGCAGCCCGTTTCCAAGGTAAATGAATATTTTGAAGCTCGTGGGCAGCAGCGCCACACGGCGCAATCATGCCGCTAACTCGTGTTTTGCAGATGATTATAAATGAGTTGATAAAGAAGCTGGACATGGACTTGAGTGAAGATATCGCAACGCTCTCCCCAGAGGAGCTGCGACAGCGTGTGGATGCTGCCATAGCACAGATTGTGAACCCAGCCAGGGTGAAGGAGCAGCTGGTGGAACAACTGAAGACGCAGATAAGGGACCTCGAAATGTTCATCAACTTCATTCAGGGTCAGTGCTGCGGTTTCAGATGAGCAGACTGAATTGCCTTGTAATTCCCTGACAGTTATGAGGAGGGAGGTCCCAGCTGGCAGGGGCTTCAGGAAGGGTTTCTGGGTCACAGGGAAGTACAGATCGCTCTGAAGTGACGGCGGGGAGGACGAGAGAGCGACAAAAAAGGTGCAGAGAGGTCTAAGGAATATTGACCTTAATACTTGGGATAGGCAGCTTGGATTCACAAGTGTGAAATAATAGTGTGAAATTCTTGTTCTAGATGAAGTTGGAAGCTCTGGGAAGGCGGAAGATGGGCACTGTGAATGTGCAGGCAGAAAAGATGGCGGTGGCTCCTGCAAACCAAATACGCGGCCTTCTGGAAACAGAGGTGGGCACTGCTTGGCTCGGGGCTTCCGGCACTGCTCCTGCCGGCGCTCGTCTGAGGTTCGGCAAGCACGAACCAGTCACGCTAGGCTGCTTTGCTTTTTTCCTGGCAGTTGATTTCTGTTCTTTCCTCCTCCCGCTGACAGAAGGCCTGTGTCCAGTTCCTTTACTCTTCCTCCACGGGATCATTCGAGTAGTGACGGAACGTGAAGGTGTGGCCCCGAGGGTGGGATTGCCCCTCAGCTGAGATCAGGAATAGGAGGAACTTCTGGTAGCGCAAAACGGGGACGGACCGAGCAGCCTCGTCGTGGACACACAGTTGGGCTGCGCTGTGGTTCACGCTCTTTGCGTTCTTAGCTCTGTGAGCTGATACAGTGGGCTGGATGGACCCAGTGTTCCTTATAATTTGAGACTTGTCTACTTATCACAGGAATTTCTTGGAGCTAGAATAGCATACTAGAGGAAATAATACAATATCTTTACCTTCTGTAATCTGGGGCATCTGCTGCTAGTGAGAGAGCATACTGGCCCGGATGGACTTTGGGCCGTACCCAGTGTGGCTTCCCTTGCAAACTGAATTTAATAATGGCATCAGGAGTAGGCAGTGTACGTTCGCCTGCTGAGACAAGACGCTTCTTGAAGGCAGGCAGCGATCTCCTTCAGCAAAGGTTTTGATGTCTCCTAATTACCCGTGCGATATCGTCGTGTCTAAAGAATGATCGTTCCTCACTGTGTATGTGCCCCCTAGGAAGGCTGTTGTAGGATTTCTTCTCTGTAAGATGACCTGATTGGCGAGAACAGGCCATGCAAACGTTTGCTTTTCTGGTTGGCTTCAGTGCTTTGCAACTAGAAAAAGTAGCGGCAGTCCTAGGGACAAAAGCTCCCGAGGAGAAGGAGAATCCGCGGCAGAGGAGGAGCAGACGTTTGCGCTCCCTTTGTGTGCGTGAAAGAGCAGAGCTGTTGATTCCTTAACGAGAATTTTTTTTTTTTTTTTTTGTCTTTCCTAACCTGATCAGTGAACCCAGAAGATGCCAGGAAGATGCGAGAAACGGGGCTGCACCTGATGCGTCGCATGCTTGCTGTGCTACAAATATTTGCTCTCAGTCAGTTTGGTTGTGCTACCGGTCAGATTCCTCGCACCCTCTGGCAGAAGGACCAAGCCAGCAAGGACTATTCCCCCTTAATTAAGAAACTGGAGTTGTCAGTGGAGCGGGTGAGGCAGCTGGCTCTGAAACACCAGCAGGAAGACCACGTTATCAGTTCCTCTGATCTGCAGGACGTTCCCCTAGGAGGCAGGGATGAGCTGACTCTGGCTGTGCGGAAGGAGTTGACCATCGCTTTGCGAGACCTGATGGCTCACGGGCTCTACGCCTCCTCTCAAGGAATGAGCCTGGTGTTGGCACCCATCGCGTGCTTGATCCCTGCCTTCACCTCCGCCCCGCAGACCATGCACCCCTGGGAGCTCTTTGTCAAATACTACAACACTAAGAATGGACAAGCCTTCGTGGAATCCCCGGCTCGCAAGCTCTCCCAGTCCTTTGCCTTGCCTGTGACAGGAGGAGTGGCCATTACCCCCAAGCAGAGCCTGCTGACGGCGATTCACACCGTCCTCACGGAGCACGACCCCTTCAAGCGCAGCGCGGACTCTGAGCTGAAAGCCCTGGTGTGTATGGCGCTCAACGAGCAGCGCCTCGTCTCCTGGGTGAATCTGATCTGCAAATCTGGAGCTCTGGTGCAATCCCACTACCAGCCGTGGAGCTACATGGCAAACACAGGCTTCGAGGGCGCGCTCAACGTTCTCAGTCGCCTGAGCAACTTGAAATTCAACCTCCCGGTTGACCTGGCTGTCCGGCAGCTGAAAAACATCAAAGATGCTTTTTGATGTGTTTTTATTGTAGATCATCCATTTTCCACAAGTAGGCAGCTGTCGGGCTCAAGAAGCCTGGCTTTTTTAAGACCAAGTTTAGCTCTTTGAAATTGGTATTTGCTTTTAGGGAAATCGTATGGTGTCTTGATGCTGGAAATCTGTGTTTTACAACTGCAAAGCTGCTGGAGGTTGCGCGCTGTACGCACCTCGCCCTCCCCTTTTTGTGCAGCTCTGAAGAGCAAGACGGCTTCGCTGTGAGCGGATGCCGGCGAGCGGTCGGTGTGCGGAGCCTGCGGGCGGGGGAGAGCCCCCAGCACCGTGCAGCTTGGCCCCTGCGCTGCCTCCGCGCCGTTGTTTCTCAAAGTTTGTGGTTTAACGGAGGCCTCTCGCGGGGGGAGCCGGGCGGGCTGGCCGGTGGCTGGCTGCCGCGGGGCCGCCCG